GGATCACTGGTTTCCGGGTCCCCCTGCATTCTCCAATATGCAGTCTTTCTCTTCTCTTTTCTCCAACTAAATTCTCTGCAAATAAAATCTTTCCAATCTCTGCTGTTAGAGTCTGTCTGTGCTTTCATTCTCAGAGCAGGCTCAAGAACCCTGCCTGAGCATCTGAAATTCCTGTGCGTGTCACCCATGCATCAATCCTAGCACAGACAGCCTGACCGTTGGTCAAGAAACTGACTGATGACTTATCAGGAACTGAGTATAAGCTGAACCATCCAGAAACAACACTGGATGGCAAGAATTCATTTCATGATGAAAACAATGTATTTGCAATCAGGTTTAAGTTGATCTAGAAATTGCATAAGCAGTATTTTTGAACTAGACTGTAAATTAATGATGCGATATTGTAATCTCTACATTAATCTCCAAAAGAGTAATAAAAGAATTTTTAGTCTTTAGTGTTTTATTATTAATCTACAATCACTGAAAAGAATGAGACACACTTGCTCTAATTTTAAAAAAAATGTCTAACCACTTTTACTACATTTTAGGGAACTAAAGGAACCATGTCTCGCTTGAATGAAGAGGAATATTTAATTTAAAATGCATCCTCAGTACTGAATATTTTTCGTTCAAAAGTGGAGAGCTGAGTAGCTATGGTTGAGAGACTTTGTATTAAAAACCATTTCAGGCTGGCGGAGTGGCTCAAGCAGTAGAGTACCTGCCTAGCAGGCCCTGAGTTTGAACCCCAGTGACACCTAAATAAATAAATACTATTGCAGGAGAAACACAAGATAGAACACATGACCCACAAGCTACCTGAAACTCTACCAAAATGGAAGACACGAGTATTGAAAGTATGCTTATAATTATGTTCTTTGCTTTAAACAACAGAGACCCACACAAGTTGCCTCAAGTGAAAGCATATTTATTTTAGAATGCATCAGGAGTTCTCAAGACTAAGAAACAAAAAATCCTGATACATAGAACTGTTGAGAGTTATGGGTAAAAACTGGGGTCTGGAATCAGATCTACCTTAGCTCTTTCCCTTATTATTACTTGAAAAAGTTAGCTAACCTCTTATTTTCCTCTTATTTAAAATAAAAATAGTGACTTCATAGATTCTTAAGGATTAATATATAGTTATATACATTAAGTGAGGCTGAGTAGCTTTTCAAAAGAAAGTACTCACTATATGGAGCTATTACCTATGCCAAGGGCAATGGTGCCCCTCAGGGACTAGATGGTGTTATAGACTGAATGTCGGTGTCCCAACCCCTATTCATTTGTTAAATCTAATCCCTAATGGAATGGTAATCAGAGTTGAGGCTTTGAGAGGTAATTAGGTCAGTGAGTAGAGTCTTCATGAATCAGATGAGCTAGTTTGACCTTTCTCCCATGTAAGAACACAGCAAGATGGGCCTCAATAACCCAGGAAGAAGTCCCTCACCACGAACCCAGTCCTGCTGGCTCTTAGACCTTAGACCTCTTGCTTCCTTAACTACAAGAAATAAGTATTTGTTTAAACCCCCTACTGTGTGATAATTTGTAATAGCAGCTTGAACTAAGACATGTGATGTATTGGGGTTCTCCTGAGAAGTAGAACTGGTATGTGTATGTATACACATACACAGAGAGAGAGAGATGGAAAGAGATTTATTTTAAGGAATTGGTTCATGCATTGTGAGGGCTGGTAAGTTCAGAGTTTCCCGGGTGGCTGGAAATCCAGGTATGAGTTGATGTTGCAACCTTGAGTTTAAAATCCACAAGGTAAGCAGAATGACATGCTTTGGTTAGACTTTTTATTTGTTTGTAGATGTTGGTGTTTCCATGTTGTAAGCTTTTTCAGGTCCAAGTCTGGGATTAATGAGGCAAAAAGAAGACCTCAAGAACTCACTAAGTGTTAGCATCCAGATCCCAGAGTCAATAGCCAGTCTGCTACAACCCAATACAGTGTGTAGCAGGCAATGGGATGAGGAAGATGACAGAATGGTGATGACACAAGCATATACACAAAATCATAATAATATAGGGAACTCAGGTGAAAAAAAACATGGTAGTGGGAAAGGGTAGTCTGGGAAGATTCTTACTATCTAAAGATAAGTGTTTATTGCTGAACAGGTATTTGAAAATTTTTTATTTTGGGTGCTACTGGGGTTTGAACTCATAATGTCATGCTTGCTAGGCAGGTACTCTACCTAAATTGTACATATTAAATTAATTTTTACTTTGTTCTCCGATATTTGCTAAGCTTCTTACTATTTGTTATGTCCTCTAATATTTGCTACCTCCTGACAATAAATTATGAAACAAGATGAGTTGTTTATATTAGTAGGCGCGATTTATTTTAAAATCAACACAAACTTTGAAACACAGCACGATCTTCAGACATCACGCTTAAGCGCTGTTTAAATACCACATATGCTAAAAATGCAGGCTGAGACATTCTGCAAGTGACAGTCACAAATCACAGTTTCTGGACAGGAAAAGGCTCATGAAAAGCTTGCAGGAAGATAAAAGCATTTTGGGTGGAGAATGGCACACAAGTTAGTTTTATAGGAACCGTGTATATAGTATGTTTTGCCAGTATTTAATCAGAAATTTCAGAAAGTGCCCTTTTAATACACATGCTGAGACAGCCCTGTTCATGCCTCAGTTTTTTCTGAGGGATCTGACATTTCTGAAGGTACAAGTACTGTAGAGAGAACATCACTGCAGGAACTATGTAAAGTTCAGGCTTATGAGAATAATTCCTATATAAGACTACACGTGGTTGAACTATGGCAAAGACTTTTAACACACAGCTTTTCTTCAGTCCATTACATCTTAATAAGCAGAACTTCACAATTGTAAATGCTATTTATATGGATTTTTGGGTTGTTTTTGGTGGGACCAGAGTTTAAACTCAGGGCTTCATGCTTGCAAAGCAAGCATGCTACCTACCACTTGAGTCACACATTCAGTCCATTTTTGCTGTGGTTATTTTGGAGATTGGGGTCTCACAAACTATTTGCCCATTCCAGCCTGTTACCATGATTCTCTCAATCTCAACTTCCCAAATAGCTAGGATTACAGGTGTGAGCCACCAGCGCCTAGCTTATTTATATGCATTTCATTCACATGTAAGTTAGAATTTTTCTAACTATCCATCTCTGTGGTGAGAGATGTCTCTGTTTCCTTTCTTGAAAATCTTTTTCCTGTGCTATTCCTTTGTTTCTAAGACCCCTATTTCTCCTTTATAGGGATTTTATTTTCCTTTGAGAACTGCTGGGCAGCCAGTTTCAAAAGGAATGTAAATGTTTTTCTTGCATTTTGAAAGAAAAAAATTTCGAAAGGAATACTTGTTCAATTATAGAACTGAAATCAAGAGGAAATCAGGGCATGGGAGACAGAGCTTTGCTTGAAAGCCTCTATTCTATGAAATGTGCAATCCTGCCACTATGCCATGCAGGTGTCACGAGGCAATGAAGGATACATTCACATGAGGTTTTCAGCTACCTGCCAGCGTGAGGACCATCCATGTTGGTAAGTGCGACAGCCTTTACTCCTCAGATAGCTGGGGACCCGCAGCAGCCTCCTGAACACCTGCTAATCCAGCCTCATTTCCAAGAGATCCTTTCTCCTCTTCCACAGAATCTTCAGGATTAGAATCCTCTTGGAAGATACCTGTTTCAGCCTCTGGTTGCTCATTGCTGACACAATTAGAATTGACATCAAGTTTATCATCTAATATAAAGGGAAAAAAATAGACATGTGATTCCTACCATGTGCCAAACTTATAAAGCTTTACATGTATTAACTTATCTAACCATAGTAAGGACCTACCTACATGAGGTAGGTTATTAATGCTATTATCAGCCATCATTGTTTTACAAATGGAGAAACTAAAAAGAAAGGGTTTTGGCTGTTTGCTCCAAGTTTCATGGCTAGTAAAACAACAAAATCAGTCTTGAACTCAGGCCACAGGCCTCATATCAGTACTCTAAATCAGGATTGATACTTGGGATTTGACAAAAATCTACATTTGAATACAGCTTTCCTTTTCATTAGTTTGTTATCTTTTGGTAGACAATTGACTGTATTTGGTGGTTATCTATAAAGTGGCTTTTAGTAAAGCCCACCCTACATTTGTGGGTGAAACATCTAGAAGAGTGTGTGGCACATGGATGATGCTTAACAACCAAGATGACCATTTCACTGGCAATCCTACTTTCTCATGATGATTAGTTAGTACATGAACAGCTATCATTCCCAGTCCTCTGCATAAGATAAGAGTTTGGTCCAGAGAATAGAAGAATACAAGAATGCCTAATTATTGTCTTCATGATAAATGTTTAAATTTTGTGCATATCATTCAATCTCACTGACTGTTTCTCAACCAAGTAAAAAGGACACGATCACTTCATGGGTGGAGGTGAAAGTATCCAGGATCAGTCACCAAGGCAAGTTTCTAAACTACATATACTCCCCAATAATGCAGGGTATATTCTCTGGGCAGGGCACAGGGCTGGAGGTGGCTCTCCCCTCCAATATGTGAATCATTGCTGAAGCAAGTCACTTAACCTCACAAGGGAAGGAGAGAAAAAATAATGTGAAACTCACTGCTCTAGTGCTTGTAGAAATTTAATCTGTGTATGAGAGCCACAATTTACTCTGTGATTTATAGATATACTATGTAATTTCATCCACAGAATTGAAATTTACAGACTTCTGAACTTAAAGTCTTCTGGTACCCATTTAGGAAAATTATTTCCTTAAAGACCTTAAAATTCTTTATAAATAGAACATATAAGTGATTACCCACTCAAAATCCCATCACTCCAGGCCAGTCTACTGAGTTAGTGCAGAACATGGAATAAACCACCTTCTTCAGAATTGCACGTGTCTTTGATTTCCAGTAATGTTTTAGCCGACTATATTTTATGCAGCATCCCAAAGGCTAAAAAAAGGGATGCATTTGAGTTTAAGTGTGATCCTCATGTTATTTGTCACTTATCCTTCATTTCCCCCAGGACAAACAGTATAGGCTTGGTGTTTTTATACATACTATTCTCTTCTTGACTCTTTTCTTTGGTGGCCTCCAACTGTTGCTTTTCATAAATGTCCTTCAGATTCTTACAGATTTTCTTATGTGCAAACCAGTGTGTTTTCTGGCAGGTTTGATCACAATATATTACCTGAAAGCAATTGGAGATTTATTTTAAGAGTTACAATTGCATGATTTCCCAACTATGACATCAAACCAAAACCTAGTCTGTAAAAATGTTGCTTTCCACACATAAAATTATGATATGTGGTTGTATATTATATAGTTGTGTGTTGACTTAGATTTGTAATTTTTAGCTTACACTTTAAAACAATGATATATAACAAATGGTCTACAAAAGACTCTGACAAATGACTTATTAAGAAGCTACTGTATACCAGAATTGGAACAGTAAGATGACAAAGAAACAGTTGTTGTGCTAGAGGAAGCTAAGGTTGAGAAAGATCAGGATAGGATCTGAGGAGACAGACTATGTAGGGGGAGATAGACCCCTTAAGACCACAGCTCATAACATAGTACAGGACCTAGGAACAATGGGGCACTGAGGAGGCAGTGACTCACTCTAGCTGGGGAGTAGGGTAGCAGAGAAACAGGAAAGCACATTCCAGAGGGAGGGAATACTTGAACCAAAATACAAGAATGGGAAAGTGAATGGTATGTGTAAGGATGGTGATAGATTTTTACAAATGAGTTTACATTTTTGCAAGTAAGGGTGGTAAAGAGATGGGAACTTACAAAACACTATATGTCAAGGATTGTGCTAGGGCCTTATACAGATGTGGAATTATAAACTCTGTCGTTGCCCTAATTCTTCACTCATTGCTGCATTGATAGACTTTTCCATGTGATTTCAACATTCTTTGCATTGAAAACAAGGATAATTGACTTTAGACATGGCCACCTTACTTGTTTTAACCAACAGGAAGAGAAAACATAGCAATTTTAAGACTGTGCTTCAAGATATTTGTGTGATCCAGGCAAGATGGTACATGCCTGTCATGCTAGCACTGAAGAAACTGAGGCAGAAGGATCAGTCCCAGGTCAGCCTGGGCTATATAGTGAGATCTCATCTAAAAAATAAATAAATAAATAAATAAGAAAAAAAGAAGAGCCCTGTATGTTTCTAGTTACCCACTTGTACCTCTGTCACTGCCATGAGAACATGTTCAGCTGCCCAACTAAGGCTGCTTACCACAAATGGAGAAAGAATAAGTGCTTGTCTTAAGCACTGTTTTTAGAGGGGTTTCATATGCAGCAACAGTTAAAGATGACGGTCTCATTTAATTCTCACGAGTCTAGCCCTATTTCACACATAAGGAAACTGAGGTTTAGAGAAGTTAGTAATTAAAAGAGATAAGGCTGGACAGAGAAATAGCTTATGACAGACTTTGATGTTTTTCATATAAAAGGTGAAGTATTTCAACCTTGAAATCAATAGACTGATGTTACCTAATGGATAATGTGCCTGTACAGACACACATGTGTGTCACATCTGGATGTGAGAACATAATCAGGTATGTCCTTTACAAAGACAATGCCGGCAGAAGTGGGCAGTATACTTCCTATGGATTAAAGCTTGTGGACAGAATTTGTAGATTTAATGGGAAGAACTGACAAAGAGACTACCAAAAGTCAACATCAAGAGGGCTAAGATTATAAATTTATAAACTTTCCTGATCTAGGTTTTCATATCTGCACCAGCATCAGTCTCCCTTGCTCTCTAAACTTTCTCTTTGTTTCCTCATTTTTATCCATTCATATCTTTTTTCCCCATGGAGTGGTAAGCATACAAATGGAAGTAGACAGATGAGTAGTTTGGCAGAAGACAGGGCACAGATGTTCATCTATGCTATAGTTCACTTTCTAATCTACTTTGTAGGACAAGAGGTATGGCTCAAGTGGTAGAGTGCCTGCCTAGCAAGTGTGAGGCCCTGAATTCAAACAACAGTACCTCCAAGAAAAAAACAAACAAACAAAAATTACTTTTTAAGCATTAGGTATAATAGTTACATTTGTTAGAATTTATTAGAAAATATAACTGTTATGTTTAAAGAATATTAAAACTGAATTGTCAGCTTGGATGTAATCTTATTCAGATATCAAGAAATTTAAAAGAACTTTGTTTCTTACCATTTTGCATACTGAACATCTTTTACTTGCTCCCTTTTCTCCACAGGTGGTACAAAATTCAACATCCACAAAACCCACCTGGCCAGTGATGGCTTGAGTAAGTACAGAGAATGCAGTGGGATCAGAACCCTAGAGTGAGTGTGAAGAGAAAAAGAAAAACCTGAAATAACCATTGAAGACTACAGATAATGTCACCCAGGAACAATTTTGTCTAGAAACACACTCAAAGGAGAAATCACTAAGTTAGTGATCCCACAGACTTTATTTATGACAGAATAACAATTATCCTTTTGAGTATACCTTTTTCTATACAAACTGTACAAAAAGTGTAAGTCACATATCCCAATAAGCAAAGAAGAAAAAAATTGGCCCACTTCTAGAATGAAAACATTTTTCAACTAGGATTATTCAGCAAGTCCACACTGACTTACTGAGTGGAATTTTTTTCTGAGAATTGACATCAAGACAATATTCATATTATATTGGACAAACATAGGGCATATCACAAATGTTTAACTATCTTACTTTATAAAAGTTTGGTGCCATTTAAGCATTTTGAAGGCATTATATATTTAAAATTAGATACTTGATGTTGGGCTACAATTCAAATAATTATCACCTTTACCACTGGAATGTTTCAATCTCTTTAATAAACATACCTACAATTGTATCAAGTATTAAGAAAAACAAAAAGTATGAAAATTATTATTAAAGGACTATTGAAAACTAGAATAGCTTGTTAAAGAAGACTTATGAAAATTTTTTATAAAGAAAATCATAAGGATAAATATTTATCTATCTGAGGTGAAGGTATTAAGACTGACCTAGCATAAACAAAACTAATGGGATATCTCTTTTCCTTGCAGTTCTTTGTCCTGAGTTTTAAAAATTACACATTTATTCCTAACCAAAATGTTGCCACATTTTATTTTCATTTGCTTCTTCTTCCTAAGAATGTGTTTTTGTATTAGCTTACCAACTATACATAACAGATACTTAAAAAAATGTCACCTGGGAATAACGCTCCACATACCACAGTCAAAGAAAATATTCAAGATTTAAGTAGTTTTAAAGCAGAGCTCATTTTGAAACTGTCATGCTTCTAAATACAAATAATAATGATAATAATAACTTTTCATGTAAAAGTGCTAAGAATTCTCTTTTGGAATAAATATAATGTGTTAGTGAGAAACAACAGGTGAAATGAAACCCAGATATCAATTAATAAGTTAATAATTCCATCAGAAATAAAGGTCTGTCAAAATTGTGCTCAAATACTGGCATGTATCAAAGGACTTGTTAAAAATTTAGATCTATCCCCTTTGCCCATACATCCTAACTTAAAATTTCTAAGGGTGTGGTCCAGGTACCAACACTGCCAGGTAATTCTAAGACATAGTAAAAGTTTGAAAATTACTGGTACCAACTGGGCATTGTGGAGAACTCTCTGGTCAGGCAAAATCTTGTTAACTACTTTAATAAAGAAGAATCTGTTTAGGTATCAAAGCTCCTCTCATGGAAAGATAACTCAACCTGAAAAAAGTAGAATGCTTTCATTCAATGTATGCTATAAAATCAGAGATGTGAGCACTTTCCTAGATGTTAAACTATACATTGTTAATGGATAAGTAAAGCAAAACATCTCTACCAGCATAATCTGCTAATGTTTCTTTAATGTAGCTGTGCTAAATTAAACACACTTTCTGCTGAGCTTTGTGACAGGCAGAAGCCAGAGCACCACATGGGCAGAGAGAATCAAAACCTGCACAGGTGGACCGAGGCACCAGTACCGTCAGAAAGCCACAGAGAGGTTCTCACTGCAGCTGATGCTGAGAGTCTGCTGCTACAGGAAAAGGTGAGCATTGCTGTAGGGGTTTAAGAACTTGTAGAAGAGCAAAAACTAGACAGTGTCTCTCTGGAACACTCAATTACAAGCATTCAAAAGAAAGTTTTCCAGAGAGTGCTACAGAGAACTCTTAAAGGACAAAAATTTTTTAAAGAGAAACCATTCTAAACTGTATTAAGTACTTCCTTAACTTTATTATAAATCTTTTCTTAATGACTTAGATAACAAGGATAAATATTAATCATTATAGTCTGTAAACTTTAATTATACTATCCTCTCATGTGGGGCTGCGATGAAATGCTGACCCCTAAAATGACATGCTATGTTTTTCCAAGTGATCTGGATTGCTATTTGTAGTTTTCTGTTTTTTCCCATGAAGGTGGAATGTCAGCTATCACTGTTAATGCTGGAATTTCTCCACAGCAGGCACTGCTAGTTGCTTCCCTGATACCAGTTCCCCCAGTTTCCTTACTAATGAAGCATAATTTTGTTCAGAGAAGCAGTGTGTAAATAAGCCAGAAACATTCATCTCCCCAGACATCTGTGCAGCTAAGAATGGCCATGTGAACAGACAGAGCGTGTGTGGGAGCGCTTCTGTTCTTCCTGCCTGGGCTGGGACTGTGAGCCTGGAGGTAGTGTCAAATGCTTTGCAACCACACGGACATGAGCACGAGAGTGTGAGCCTCTATGGCTAAGGGATACTAAGTGGACAGATGGGAAAGTGTGCAGGTTCCAATCCATTCGTAAGCCACCATGCCAGACTGCTCGGCCAGCCTTTGAGTGATGGACTGTCTGTGAATACGTAAATGTTATCTATGTTGTCCAGTTGCTTAGAGTTTGATATGTGCAACCACAACACACTCATAACTAATAAATCAGCCTCACATTTCACTTATTTTAATTTTCCAAAAGTTTAAACACCAAATAGCCAACTATATTAAAAAAAAAAAAAGAGTAAAGAATCTCTATATGAAAGAATGGGGAGCTCTCATGAATAAATTAATTCCTGAGCTTTATGAGATCGTCTGGTCTGCTCGGGTATTTCTTGTTTATTTCACCCTCCATTGGCAATGTCTTTATGTATAATGAAGCACTTACAACTCAAGTATAGCTTGACTTTTTCAATCTGAGAATCTGACAGCCTAGAGAAAGCACAGAGAAGGAAACCAAATTGTCAAAGAGAGAGGAACCCATGGATGGGACTAGTCTCAGGATTGATTTCTTGCCTGACAGAGAAAGGCTAGTAGTAAAAGATTTGACTGAATTGTATACAAAACCATGAATGAGTATGGATAAGGTGAACAGAAACATATTCAAAATAGGGAAGACAGAAAATGCTTTATGAAATATCTCTTAAATAAATATATGACAAAAGGACAATAAGTAGTCTTTTAAACAGATAACAAAGTTAACAGAATTCACTTCCTATAGCTAGGATGTATATGTAGATTTTCTTTTTGAGTATGGAAAATGTCTAAAAGAGGCATCACAATAGAATAACAAGCATTCATCTAGTGCAAGACTTTGTGCTGGTAGTACTTACTGCTACCAGTGTACATGCATATGTGATGTACCCCACCTCCTCAGGTCTTAAGAGGTATATAAAATCTAAGTTTCTAGTATAACCATTTACTTTCCTAAAAAGGCAAATGCTGTTTATTAAACTGAGTGCTACTAAAAATCCAAGGAAACGATCATGAAAGGAGAAATGGACAAACGGAAACAGTAGGCAAACCCATCTCCAGTTTTGTTCCTAAAAATTTTCTGAACTAATAAAAATAAATACTAAAGGGAACTTCTCTTTAATAGTACAACATGTGATAGTTAGGTCTTACTGATACAGTCAGCTTAGTTGATAGGCGCCTTACAATTTCAACAGGAGCAATGCTTCGCACCAGCTGCTGGAGGAGTGTAGCTTCACAGTAAGGAAATTTTCTGATACTTTCTCTAATGATCTTTTCCTGATATACTGGAAAGCCATCAGAAGCTCGGCCTTTTAACAAGCTGAAAGATATTTTTTAAAGAGTGGTTGAAGTTGAATCACTAAGCATTCCTTTCAGTTGTTTATTCTTTGTTACTTAAGATTTTCATTATCTCTTCAAATCATGGTGATGGACTCAATTCAAACTGCTGTTCAACCTGATCACCATGAGTGGATCTTATCAGATTTCCAGGCTCTAAGATGCCTGTAGGTAAACATGACCCCCACCATGTGATAACCTAAACATAGTTATCAGATTAGCTAGTTACTTATTACTATGTAAGTTATTTGTAGAAGAATGCAAACTCTCATTGATGCACCCTTCTAACCTGTTCTGCTTTTTTTCAGTAAAGCTACAAGAGAATTTGATCTCTGGTGGTCAGAGAACAAAGACGTGGCACAGATCTCCCAGGTTTCCTTAGAGATGCTGAGTGCCATTATGAACCCAGAGCAGTAACCTACAACATAAAACAATCTCATACTTGGACCTGGGCCATTTTCTTGCTTCTAATCTTATACATGCTATTCAACCTCTGCAAGCCCAAGATTCCTCATGAGTAAATCAGCAATAACAGCAAAAAACTATTTTTGTAAAGGTACAAAACTGAGTAACAACTCAATCTAAGTTTAGTATTGTCTCTTGATTATTGCAGACTAAATGTGATTCCCAGCAATGCAATTGCTGCTAAAAATGCTTAATTTTCAAATCCGTAACTAGGCTTCATACAACAAAACATTACCCACTTGAGAATATTTTTAAAAGTACCTTTTGATTAGGGTGTCCAGTTTATTCTCTCCTTCTTTTAAGAAATTAATGCATTTCTGAAAAATACAGCTGACATAATGCATTTTCATAGCCAATACTTCATTCATATCTCTTTGTTTCATACATTTCTCACAAATCAAATCCATCACCTTGTAGCATTTATTTAGCGCTGCTTCTTCTGCCAGCAGAGGATTTTCCTTCACAAGCATCACAATCTAGAAGACATTTGGGAACTTAGAAACTCTAGGAGATTTAGGTAGTCCATTTAGGTGATTTCAAGAGATTATCAAATAAAGTTTTTCTTAGGATCATACAATTACTGTGCTAATTAAAATTATAATGAAATTTCCACTGATTAACATTTTAAAGCTAATACAGAAGGACGTCGATATGGAATGTCTTGATATCAAAGTTAAAATGTGATCAGCATCTACCTACACCAGGGTGTTAGTGTGCTATTCAGAGGTCATGGTTTTACAATCTGTTAAAAGTGCCTTTACTAATAATAACCATGGCATATCTGCATAACCTTGATATATATGATCAAATCACTGAGAAATCACTATTTTTAGTTAACATTATAAGCTCTATAATTTCATGACAAGAAAAACTATAATTCTCCTTAATTTTTTGTGGTACTAGAGTTTGAACTCTGGGCTTCAGACCTGCTATGCCAGTGCTTTACCACTTAAGCTACTCTACCAGCCCTTGACTAATTCCTATTACAGGGAAATGAGATTTTTACAAAAAGAAGTCTAGAAATGAAATGTGTTTTACTTCTTCTCCAAGGAAATTTTCCTAATGATGCTTCCAGTCATCTACAGTAGTGAGAACAGATCACAAGGAAACCATAAACAGCTCTGGAAAAGGGAAGAGTTATCGAAATTTACACATCCTGAGTCTCACATTTCCTACATATACACAGATTAAGCTCAAATTAGTGTAATGAGGAGTCCTTTACTAGCTAGATTGAGTAGATACTTGAAGTTGGCCTGCATGAGACTACCATAAAAGTCCCTGGTGACATAACAGTAATATAAACATGTATTACGCACACATAGCAGAGTCAGTACTATGTATATTACAGCTAAATACTTGTGCCAGGGGTTGTAAATGTTAGGAAATAACAGGTAGATTTAATGAACTACATTCTTCTCTGTAGGCATGAAAAAAGATCACTTGTGAGCTCAACTAAACCCATGCTCCCCCTCCTATTTGGAAATTTAACACACACTGAATGTCCATGAGGAATTAAAAGAGGATTTTCATTGATTTTTTACACTGCTAATTTTATATCTAATCTAGTGCTTTTCTTAAAATCCAGCACTTAATAATAATCAGAATCCTAACTGGTGAATTTGTTGACTTTCTCTACCAAAACGCATATGAAAAAATCCATTTGTTTAGGTGGGTGTGGTGGCACATGCTTGTTTTCCCAGCACTTTGGAGGCTAAGGCAGGTGGATCAAGAGTTTGATGTCAGTTATATATTAAGATTCTGTCTTAACAAAATAATTTGTGTCAAAGACTCATTAATTACCCATTTATACTTCTGCTAACTACAATCATTTGAAGATGTGTGATCAATATTTTTATAGATGGTATTTATAATCAGTGTATAAGCTCTTAAATTTATAAGTGAGAATTCTTAAAAATATCAAATAGACCGGAGAGTAATGATTTATTTTGTATTGAGACACTAGACCTGATTTATTTTATAATATAAAGCAAATAATTACAAGAATATATGATAAATAACTACAGCATTACCCTGAGTTTACTGAAACAATTACACAGCTGCACTCAAAAGAATTTTCATACTAGTTTTCTTCCTTTTTCTCTGCAACATTATGAAGTAATATAAAGGAAATTCTTATTATTAATTACAAAAACTAGTAGACATATTTCTTTCAGCATTAGAACTAGATGAATCTTATCTTTCAAAGGACAGATACCAGGCTGATGGAGTGGCTCAAGGGGTAGAGTGCCAGCCTAGCAAGTGTGAGGACCTGAGTTCAAAGGACAGATACCTTAGAGTATGTGCTTGCAGTGACATTTTGAATCCTTTCTGTTTTTTAAATATCACCCTCCACTTTTTTTTCTTCCTCCATTGCTGTGCTGAGGATCAAAACCTAGGGCCTCATGAGATCTAGGCAAATGCTCTATCACTGAGCTGCATCTTCAACCCCAAATCCCATTTTTTAAATTGCAAAATCAATAATTCTGGGTTTGAAAAGTATCTCAATTATCAAAGATGGGATTGCTACATGAACACCTGTCTCCTTTCCATTTGGAGACCCTTGGAAAAATTGGTTGCCAATTTTTCTGACATTTCATCTTCTCCTAGATAACCTTTATTTTCTGGGCATCAGCACAACTCCCCAAGTCTCTTGAAAACAAGGATGTCCACTTAACCTAGACACAAATGCAGTGAAGTTAGGGGCAAAGCAATGAAAAGGCGAGTTGTGTATTGGAGAGAATTTCTGTGCTTATTTCAAAGGTGTTTAAACAATAGTTGTTTGTTACTTTGTTACAATACTCCCTATGAACAACCATAGGGATAAAAGCATTGGGATAAAAACAGCTGAAATGGGCCACCTTAACAAAAGCAGCCAGGCAGCTTTTATATCCAAAGTCTGGATAAAAGAGAGGGGTTTTAAGTGAATAGATGGTTTATATCTACAAAAAGCAAAGTGTGTTCTGAAGGACGGTACTACAGTCATACAATCATCTCTTTTAAGACTCAGTGCTCCAAAAAAGTATTATGCAGACTATTTCAGATTATATACCTTTACAATTTATTGCCAGTCTAAATATGCCCTAAATCTAATTTATTCAAAATATATGCCTTTAAAGATAACTGAAGAATAATTCTTAGGTCATTTAACCCTGAGAAAGTAGGTTCCATATAAACATCAAAAATTACTCCAGGGGTGAAGGGAAGGGGAGAAGTAGGAAAGGGTAACCAAGAAGGTGAATATGACCAAAGTGCATTATATGCATATATGGAAATACCATAAGAAAACCCCTCTGTACAATTAATATGCACTAATAAAAAAGTTACTGGAAGAAATTATTCCAGAATCATATTGTAATCTGAAGGTGCTGAAACATTAGATATAACACTTAGTGAATCAGAAAAATACAGGGAGCTTCTTCAAATCAAACTAGAACATGCTATAATGCTCAGGCCTATGGGAATAAAGGAGAAATACTGGATCCTCACAAAAAACCTGTCTCCCAGCCCAGCCTGCCCCGTGCCTGATTACCATGGAGAAGGAGTTGCTGCTACTTCCAGGTGGTCTCTCTTCCCAGCATGCCACAAGGAAGAAGAGAATTGCTTACACAGAAGAGGCTACATCTTTATTTAAAGGTAAATTCTAAGTCACATTTTCTTCAGAATTTTTTATGCAGCTCTTGTGGTTATTGTTTATAAAATGATTGATCTTAAAAAAATAGCAGTAAAAATAGTTCAGAATGGCTCTGAAAGCTTCCCTGTTAAGCAACTTGAATTTATGTGTTGGTTTAAAACTTTGACAGCCTGTTTGACTAACTGCTGGAAGAACTGTACTACTTAAAGGCATCAAATAGTCAATTGCATTCAAAATGTATTCATTAATCACATTTCAGAGTATTTCTGAGAAGGCTAATTATTATAGTAAATGATGATGGTGCCCAACCTGGATCCTCTTTACCAGACTGGCACACCAGGCCCCAGTCACTAAATGGCTAAGGCCTTGGAGTGGCCTCCTCCAGAGAACTGCCTTCATTCACAGGAAACCACTTCACTTTTCTCTCTGAGAAACTTCCCTTTCTCTCTGGGGACAAGGACAGATTGATGAATACAAAAATCTGACTCTCTGGCCTCTCTGGAGCCATGCAAGGTCCAGAATTACATGTGGAATGAGATGAAGCTAGATTTTGACTGAACCCTCCTCTTTGACTGGCTTTTCCCCCTCCTCCACTCAGTTCCCCTCAGGGTCTCCAAGGTTTCAACCAAGAGTATTCTTTCAATGAAATGAACGAATAAGGAGCTCCCTACGAACTCCACATTACAAGCTTAGCCCAAGACATTTATTATATTCCCATAAATAAGAACAATATTGAAGTAAAAGCAAATATAGTCAGTACCACGTTACCTTGACAGGATGAAGGTTTGTTGTGGTGATAATTTTGTGCAGTGGGCCTGCCAACTTTGGGGGCAGTTTGGGCTCTTTATCCAGTCCCTGGGGCTTAGTATAATAATCCAGTCTCTCTCGGGGAAAGAAATTGTTGATTATAGTCACACAATCATGTTGACCTTTGAATAGAAAAATACAAAAAAGTTGAAATTTTATTATTAAACACAAGATATTTTCTGGATTTTTAAGTTATATTGCTGTGTTCTTGTGAAGTAAACATCCATCAATGACTATTTTTTTCAGGAAAGAAAGGAATGGACAGAGAAATATGCTGGTTTGGAAAGATAATTTAGTAATGATGATCATATCATTTTTGGTATCCATGCTACTTACTCTGAAGTATCAAACCCGTCAGTTTCTTTTTTTAGGGGGAGGATGGGTTTCCTCCTCTCTCTCCCTCCCTCCCTTCTTCCATCAGGCTACATTTAGGAAGACTTGAATCTAAATGGGTCAGAGGAAAATATGGATTTATCTTATAACCGAATCTCTTCACTAGTCCCCCAACTAGAACAGCATTAGAAAAAGCAGTTAGCAGTTGGACGTATCTGTACATAAAAATATTTGCAGTATAACAACATTACTTCAGGGTGGGGGAGTTCTTAGTATTATACCATTTTGAAAAGAAAAAATGTTACTTTTTCAAGATCAATTTGTTTCATTTTAGGTAGTGCTTAGATTACTTTGATATTTTATATTAATTAATCTAATAATTTACACTAGACTGATATTTAATTTTATTTTTATAAATATAATTTCTCTGGAAAAATTTGTTCAAATTTTTGCAATTGAAATGATTAAATATTTAGTTTCACTGCTTTTTAATTAACAAATTCTGAATACACAGACATAAAAGGTGCTATTAAGATCGAAAACAAATGCTGTGGGGGAAAATGTCAGTACACCATTTTGTTCTGGTATTACAATGACTGTACTTTGGTTCTTCTAGATTGCTAAGGCTTGCTGACATATTCTGATGTCTTATTTTGTTTTGCTGATTTTTTAACTTCAAGGATGAACTGAAAATCAAACATTCTTCCAGAATGAGAAATGAAACATTTACAATGAAAAATAAGTTGAATTCTCATTTGCAAAACTAAAATTTAGAAACCTGTTATTTCAATATGTGCCTGACAGAAAAGAACTGTGATAGGAGAATCATGAAAGTAACTAGCATAAGGCTCACATTTCAGAGAGAAAGATCATTTTGCAATGAGGGGTTTCAAAGGATATACAACCCACAAAACTCACCAAAGAAGGTCCTGTAACCAAAACCTAAATGAGGACAGAACCTCAAGAGCAAACGGGCAGAAAGGAGAAGACACAGGAGTCATACAGTTAACCTGAATGGATAAAGACAGAAGGACTGAGAAAGCATACTGTTAACAGTGAGGATTTCTGAATGAAAAGTGACATCCTGTCAATGGCTTTCTAATAACAACTAAATATACTAAATTCTCTCAACAAAGTTTACAGTTAAGAAGTATGATAGATACACTCTTTGAGGAAGCAGTGGAGGAGGCAGAAAGGAAATCCCTAAAAGGGCAAAAATAGAAGTAGAGAAATGAGTTCAAGAATTTCAGCTTGTTGAAGATTACTAATTGGGCAAAGACAGGGGCTAAGGTATAGCTTTGACTACTCCAATCACATTAAGGAAAAACACACACACACAAACAATGACCAAGCAAAATAAGGAATAAAAATGAGGCAAAAGAAGAAGACTGCAATAAGTATATAAATAGTTATATTAAATATGGGTAAGCTAAAAGATTCATTGGAATTGTAAAACAGAACTCACCTATGTTGTAAGTTACTCTACTACAATGAAATGATAAGAGATTGAAAATAAGGAGATGGGCAAAAAGATTATTGACAAATACAAAAAATAAGGAATCAGGAATGGTAATGAGAAAATGTGGAACTAAAAATGACATTATGCAATGATAAAAATCAACAATATGATATTAAAAAGTGAAAGCTAAAAACATTCATCAAAATAGAAAAAGGACATATCAATTATCCTTATTATTATTTCTTCTTAGTTTGAAACCTGACAATAATTCAAATAAAAAACAGAATGAGCCAGGCATAGTGGTACACAGCTGTAATCTAGCTACTCAGGAGGTTAAAGCAGGAGGATTGCAAGTTCCAGGTCAGCCTAGATAACTGAGTGGGAACCTGTTGCAAAATAAAAACATTTAAAAGGCTTAGGTTATAGCTCAGTAGTGGAGCACTTGCCTACCATATATAAGACACTGGGTTTAATCCCTGATACCCCTTAAAAGAAAACAAAATGAAACTGAATAACTAAAAAGTTCAGGAGACTAATAAACAAGAAAAAAATATAGAAATCAATAGCTTTTCTCTTTTTCACCCATAACCAATTAGAAGTAGCAGAGTGGGAAGACAGTAATAAGAGTTCTTACAAAATGACAACACAAATTACTTAGATTTGAGCTTTTAGGGTTGAATGGACTAAGTAAAGCACACCCAGAGTGGGCATACTTTGAGATAACCCCTTGAACATCAACCAAAATATTAATAATGAAAAACAGGACTGCAAAATAGGTACAATGTATGTGTGTGTGCATGGGTGGTTCTAGTGGGGGAGGGTGAAGGAAGGAGATTAAGGTGACAGTATATGGTGAATGGACTTCATAAACCTGTATGAAATAGAACTAAGAAACCTCTTGCAATTGTTTCAGGCAGGGTGGAGAGGGGGTTGAGGGGGAGAGAGGATGGGACAATGTTACAAATGTACAGTGCGGGTCTGATTGGAATTGTTACTATGAATCTCCCCCTATATAATAAATATATCATAACAAAAAATTTATTACAAAAATTAAGTTAGATTAAAAAAATTTTTTTAAGATATGAGCTTTCAGTTTTTCTACATCATCATATTGTTGTACTGGAGGCACATTGTGACATTCACAAAAGTTCTTACAATATCTCACAGTTGAATTAACCCCCTCCATCATTCTCTTCTTTAAAATGACAGATATGAAGCCCCACCTGCAAATAAACAAACAACAACAAAAAACAAAACAAAACATGCAAAGGCATGGTATGTAATTGGATGGGAAATCCCAACATCATACAGACATTTATTCTCTATAAATAATTAAATGATCATTTAATAAAAAAGAATTTAACTTATTACAAAGATGGCATTTCAATGCAATGGGAAGATGTTAGGCAGTTTAATAAATGGTGCTACCATAGTTAGCTATATAGCTAAGGAAAAATAAACTCTTAAAAAAATGATCCTTGGTCAAGAAGATCTCTAGCAAGACAAAAACATGGAAGCTATAAAAAAAGATTATTTCAAAATAAATTTTCTATGGCAAAAGTCCTCACAAAATCAAAGGAAAAATAAGACTTGCATAAAGACTTGCATAAAATGTTTGAAAAACATTTGGTAGAGAAAGTGCATACATAATATATGTAATGCTCTTTATTTAATAAGAAAAGGACAATCCAAAAGAAAAAGGAAGAAAGAATATGAGCAGACAATCCACAGAAGAGAAAATACAAATGACCAACAATAGAAATTTAAGTTCACTAATAATGAGGGGAAGGTAAATTCATGATAACCATCTTTTCAACAATCAGATTAGCAAAAAAAAAAGGAATGATGATATCCAGTTGACTATATTAATGTTAATTGCTGTACCTTTTTGGTAAGCAATCCATACTTACAGTAAATTAAAGGTATATATTCTTTGTCTCAGCAACTTTATTTCTAAGAATATCTACCATATTGAAGTACTAAAATGCAAAAACAAAAGTAAGGATGTTCATTAACATAATTTCTAGTGAAGTGATTTAAAAACCCTGAAAATCTGTCAGTAGGGACAGGTACATGAACCATGGTACAACTGTGTCATGGGGTGTTATGCAGCTGTGTATGCCTACTGAGGTGAGAAGGACTTCCATGATGTACTTGTAAGTGAAGAAAACAAGTGATGAGGGATATCTATTGTATGATTGATCACATTTCCTACAAATGACATAAACCCTTCCTAGGAGTGTGCACATGTGTATACAGTGATCCTCTTGAAGGAAACACAAAGGTGAGAGTGATTTTTTTAAAAGATTAGTTATATGGAAATTTCTACTGAAAAGGTGTCATATAATTTTCTGTGAAATTAATCTAGATTAAAATGCAATGAAAACATTACTCTCATTTTAGAATGGGATTGAGGACAACTTCTGCTTTAGATTTTTGTTAATAATGTATTGTTAAGAAAAAATGAGCCCTGTGTTAACAGTTGAAAGAACAAGCTCCTTATTTCCAGTCCTACAATCTTGGGGAAGTTAACCTCCAACTGTGCTCTATTTTGTTTCATCAAAGACATAATGAAAACTTATGCAGTTAAATACAATTTTGCAGATCACCTAATTTTCCTGCTTCATTGCACACCAATCAGAAAACTGAGGACCATGAAGGTGAAGGGATTTGCTCGTGATCCAAATTAGCAGTAGACATGAACTAAAATACAAGTCTCCAGATTGCTAGTTTAGTGTTCTTTTCTCACTGCACTGACATCCTTGAAATTAATTTGGAGGTGAGTTGGGGGCAAACTTGAGGACACTAACGTGGGAAATAAAATATTTTTGTTAGGATTATATTAATTATATGGGGAGGATTCATAGTGACAATTCAAATTAGACTTATACTGTACATTATTTACATTGCCCACATCGTCTCTACCCCTCAATCCCCTCCCCACCCCACTTAAAGCAAATGCAAGAGGTATCTTAGTTCTGCTTCATATAGGTATATGAAGTCTATCTACCATATACTGTCCTTGATCTCCTTCCTTCACCTTCTCCCCTCCCATTGTTACCCCCCCCACACACACACTGTACCTATTTTACAGTCCTGGCTTTTAAGTTGATGTTCAAAGGGGTGTCTCAATGTATGCCCACCATAAGTGTACTTTACTTTGCTCTGTTTAACCCCTTCCATTACTCTCCCTTATCCCTTTACCCCCCCACTCCCTGTTTTTCAACAGTTTTCAATACACATTCTAATATCCTCTACCTTCACATCTTATGTTATGTGATATTACTGATGCTCTATCATTTTCTCTTTCCCTCCCTCTTTCCCCGATTTCCACTGCATAGTTCCACTGTTACAAACACCTTCTACATCTGAGTTTGAATATGATGATGCTTGTTTTTGTGTATATGTTTATCTTTGGATCTTTCTTTGACACATGAGAGAAAACATGAGGCTTTTGTGTTTGTGATCCTGGCTTATTTCACTTAACATGAAGTCTTCCAACTGCATCCATTTACCTTCAAACTACACATCGTTATTCCTTATGGCTGAGTAATACTCCCTTGTGTATCTATACCACAAATAAAATATTTTTCTGAAGCTTGCACAGCAAGGCCATGCCTTTCCTCAAATTTAATAATGTTTGTTCTTCATAAAACTGTCATAAAGTGACTGACTGAGTGTCTGCCTTAAGGAATGGTAGCAGCTATTAGTTTCAAAAAAATTTAATAATAAAATTTAACACAATATATACTGTTACAGTTGCTCATACCTCACTAATCCTCATTGTATCTCAGCTTAAATGTAATTTCTTCTCAAAAACCCCTTTGCAACAGGAATTTGTTTAATGAATTACTAGTCCACCACAAGGCAACTTACTGCACTTCCAATAAATCAGATGCTTCTCTCTTTGGTTTTCTATCAATGGACTCTCTTAACTTGCCAGTTGAATCAGTTCAAAATACTAATGATCAACTATTCACTCTCTCTTCCCTAACCCTCTACATTATATCAAGTAATTGGACTAACATGCCAAGAATTATTGGGCACACAAAATAAATGTGTGTGGTTGATGAAGATGATAATTAAACAACTGAATATTATTATCAAACTCTCTTTCCTAAGAAAGAATCGCACCATTGTTGTGATTATTATTAACAATGATAACTGATATTATTTATTTAGTTTTACATGTGAAGTTCCTTAAGCCTATCATCTCTTTTAATTCTTAAAATAGCCCTGTAACTATTTTACAATAAGGAAACTGAAAGTCAGAATCATTACGTACGTTGGTATTAAGTAGCACAGTCAGAATTTCAACTCAGGATTGCTGGCTTTGCCATTGATTTCCTTAAACATTAGGTTAAACTACTTCCATTAGAGAAATAAAATATACTCATTCATAGCACTTGAGTGCAATTAATATGTACCTACTGCTCTTGTATCTCACTAAGCGTGGATTGAATAGAGCTGCTCATTTTCTCCAAAATGTCATTAGGTACTTCATTACATTAAACTACAAACATTTTTTTTTTGGCTTTCTTTTTTTTTTTTAATTCATCTATTCATATGTGCATACATTGTTTGGGCCAACATTTTATTTAAAAAATAAATAAATAACAGTATTTGAATGCTGAGCACAAAGTAGTATTTATTTTTTTCCAGAAAGGAAAACTTGAGAATAATGTAAGGTAAAACTATAGTAAAGACTCACCCACAAAGGCTGCCATCTGAGCTGCTGTTCTCCCTACAGAGTTGACAACATCCGTCTCTGCACCAGCTTCCAACATAACCCATGTGATGTCTTTATTACCTAGAGTTAAAGGAAAAGTACTTCTTAACATTAAGGAATGCAAAATTTAAACATCTACTTCAAAATTATGGGCACCCTTTCCTACCAAATTACTTTTAGGTTAACATAATGTAGATGTTCTCTTTTTTTTCATAATTATAGTAAAAAATAAAATGCTGCAGAATTTTATTTTCTAATTGTCTGGAAAACAAATCAGGAAATGGAAAAAATGGAATGGGACTGAACATCACTTTTTAAAATGAAATGCAATGTATTTTCCTAATAAGAACACTTAGTATAAAATAAAAACATATAAAAATATCAAAAACAAAGTCAGAAGAGAAAAAATGTACAGAATTCCTTTAATATCCATTAGCTCATCCTATCCCTCACACCTCCAGGCTCTATTAATGATCAGGGATCTATTTTTTAGATCTTTTCTTTCTAAACATCCAGTTATTCTACTCACATTCTTTTAAATCATTACAGATATTTTGCTGTTATATGCTACAGTTAGTGAACAGCACTTTCCATTCATTTTTGCAAGTTTCAGCCATGATTTTTTAAGGAACAGTTCCTGAAAAATATGGATGGATTAAAGGTTATGCATATTTTAAATGCATTTGCCAGCCTGCATCTAGCAAGGTTAGACTGAATGGACTCCCCACACAGTGCAAAATAGTTCCTGGGTTTTATCAATTTCTTAAACTTTGCTCATATAATCAATGCAAAATGATCATTTGTATTTCTAATTTGAATCTCTTTGCATTTTGCTGAAAATGTTTTGTGTACTAACCAGCTGGTTATATTTCTTTTGTTCTCTGTCCAATTTTTTATGCAATATTTGTCATTTTCTACTTGATTTGTGAGTACTCCTTATATATAGCAACATGAGTCTTTAAGATATGCAATAAATATTTTCCTTTATGATTATTTGTATTTTAACTCTATTTATGGACATACTCCATATATGACAACCTTAAAATTTTATGCAATCAAATTGATCAGTTTTGCCCTTTTTGGGTTCTTTATTTTATAACAATGCTTAGAAATACTTTTGTGTTCCAGGATTATAGAAATACAGAATACTGCTTTTAAAATATGAAATTGTTACATTACACTTGTATTTTCTTAAAGAATTACAACAGTCACAGATAATCCTACTTAATTTTAGATGGCACTTCTAAATTGTCTTTATTCAGCAAATAATAAACAGCATGATTACAAGTAAGTTTCTACATGGATGACTATAGAAAGCATATAAATTCCAGTGAGGCAAAGAACCAGTTCTATTCAAACAGCTATGTGATCAAGAGAACAAAGAAGTGTTCAGAGTACTTCAAAATAAAAGTATAGAACACCAAAGGAACTAACTTGAAAGAATAGATACAGTTTCTTAATTCTACCAGAATATAAAGAACCCATTGACATAAGTCACTAAAGAAACCGATTACCAAATTAACTATAGAATTTGTTTCATACATAATAGCTTTTCAAAAGGCAACACCATTCTTTTCCATAATACTTGATCTTAAAAATACTAAATTAAAAAAATGCTAACTTTATAATGGATGTACTTAAAACAAATTGGTATAGGTAACTGATATTGATAGAGTAAATGCTAAAACTTTACCAGAAAGTGCAGCAAACATGAGGGCTGTGTATCCATGTTCATGCTGATGGCAATTTACGTCAGCTCCATGTCGCAGAAGTAACTTGCACATATCAAGTTTTCCTCTATATGCTGCGTGCATTAGAGGAGTCATTCCATTCTACAACAGAAGGGAAAAATGTATTTTAATTATACTTAGTTACCTTTTCCTTACTTATGGACATGAACAAAATCATCTTTATAAAGTATTTTATATTCATTTCCCCACTTGAATCTTTTATGAACTTCTGAGAGAAAAAAGATGGCTTTATTACCTGAGGTTTTTACAGAGTAGCAAACACATTCAAAGATATTTTCAACCTGGCATGACTAGTAAATGGGAAGGGCGGGGAGGAGAACCCAGGTTTAAGGTTCTCATCTCTACCAAACTACTTGGCTCCTGGAGAAACAAATGTACAACAGATACAAACACATAAAAGTAAACTGAACAAAAACAGGGCTGGTGGAGTAGCTCAAGTGGTAGAAAACCTGCCTAGCAAGCTCAAGGCCCTGAGTTTAAAACCAAGTACTGCAAAAACACAAAAACAAAAAAGCACCAAAAAACTCTTGAAGCAAACAGAATGCCTATCATGGAGAAATTTGAACAAATTACAGTATATTCATAGTAAGGGGATCTTATAAAGCTATTAAATAAATTAATTCATCTGTACCTATTGAATTGGAAATTTTTCTGTGAATTATTCCCAATGGGAAAAATGATACAGGAAATGTTTGTTATAGTGGTATCGTTTTTTTTAAAAAAAGGCCCTCAAAATCACATGTATATTTTAATCACATTATAATTTGATCATGTATATGATTATATAAAATAGAGAAATGGTTGGTAGTATTTACACCAGGCTACATTGTTTGGTCTCTGTATGATTTATGCATATCCAATGAAATATCCAACCTTATATGTACTGGACACCTAATACTATTTGTGGATAGATGAATGAGTTGTTTCCTCTCAGTGAATTTTCTCAGTTTTAACCCTGGCTAAACTCTGTCAGAATGCCAAACCTGTTTTAAGATGAAAACCCCCCTAAAGCAAATAATTACTTACTTTTGTAAATCTTAGGATGCTACCTTAATTTGAATTGCTCTTGAGGATTCCACACTATTATTATTAATGTAAGCCATCATCTTATTAACACAATGCAATATTATTCTTAAAGGGTTGCTGATATGAGAATTATAGACAGGCTGAGAACTTTCAGGTGGTTGTACAAGAGGCAACTTGTAGAAGTAATCCATGTTTCTTGGGAATAAGAATGGAAAACTAAGACAATTGTAATTTTACAACTCCCTTAGTTGGGTGTTTCCATGGGAATGGGATATTTGTATATCCCATTCCATGGGTGGGTGGTTGGGTGGGTTGGGGTAATCAAAATCTCATTGTACACAGGTGGCCAATGGAGTGCTGTAGGGAGAGGACATGGACTAAATGGTCAACAGCATGTGAATGAAGCAAAATGAAAGCATAGGATGACAGCCCTAATAGGTGATGTAACCCATACATAAGAAGGTGGTGTATAACCTGGGGATGGGAAGGATGCAGTACAATCAGAAGAGCCACCCCAAGAAGCAATCAACTACCTCTTCTAGGACATGGAGCTGGGAGTGTAGCTCAGTGATAGAGCATGTGCTTAACATGTGGGAGGTCCTGGGTTTGACTCCCAGCACTAAGAAAAAAAAATTAAGGACTCAGATGGAGAGTTCATCAGAACAGGTGGGCAGTCAACCATCCAGCAATTCCATCCTGCAACTATAGGTTATCTGGCTTTGGAATGAATAATCCTGAAACTACACAACTGTCCTATTAAATATAAAGCAAAAACTTGCATTATTTGATAATCTGCACAAGAGCAAGGGAGGTGTGCAATTTTATCTTACATTGCAGATTGTGCTCGTTTTTTGTGTTTTAACTCTTTGCTAATACTTCTGCCCACTTACCTGTCTGCCTCCCTTTGTTTCCCACTACTCCCTTTCTTCTGTTTTAAAATTTTCTCTCTTCCTTTTCTCTTTTCTCTCTTGTTCTTTCTCATTTACCAGCTATCACCTTAGCTAGCATCTTTTTTTCTAACAAGGATAATCACAATCACATCATTTGCTGTGCAATCTGAATCTGCTGTTTGGTCATATCCATAATCAGAGTATGCTTTTACCATATTAATTTCAGTGCTGTGTTGGATGTCCCTGGGTATCAAAATCAAACTTGTGGTCAATAACAAGTTTAGAGTAGCTTTTCGAAGAACTGAATATCGTACTTACTTTTTTTAAAATTTCAGTTCAATTTTGTGTTATACAAATTTAGAAGACTTAAAAGTGAAACTATACATTTTGAGTGTAATGATTACTATCTTGGTTCTAGTACTACCTTTTATGGAAACATTTCAAAGAGACAAGAAAAAAAGAAGTACTATTAATATATTTTGATATCTCATAAAGATACAAAGTCACCATGCTATAAATTTTTTAGTCTTTCTACTATTTTATAGCATCTCAGTGTAAATAGGAAAGGAAATGAGGACGTCAAAACAAAACTGCTGATCTAATAGAAGAAAATATTCCCATGTTTAAAATAAATTTGATTAATTAAACTTAAAATGCTATGTTATCTTTCAATTATAAATATGGAATAACATAGGAAGAAATAAAATAGTGAATGAAAATTCAAAATACTGAACTTTTAGGAAGGAAAAACTTAAATATTGAATGCCCATCTCTGTTCACTACTTAAGGAAGTAGTGAGAGTATCATAAAATGCCATAGTGTTATTCATAAGTCATCAATTCTAATAAGCACCCATTTACATATTTAACATCTCTGAAGTTACATTTCCATTTTCAAGCACCAGAATCTTATAAACTACAATTGGTTTCTACCCTCTCAATTTCAGAGATGTTTGTCTGAAATCTAGATAAGTTTTTAAATCTGTGACATCTTAGAGCCAAAGAAATGTAAAGAGTAAAAATTTTTACTTCCTGGTCATTTCCCAAAACAAACTTGGAGGAAGTCTGTTTAAATAAATTGTATGGAAAATGAGTGTCTACAGTTCTTTAAATACAATAACCTTAAAATTAATTAACAGTTATTTCCCATAGTTCTTTAATTTTTTTTGACACAGGGTCTCACTATGCAGCCCAGACTAAACTTAAAGCCATGATACTCGTGCCTAACCTTTCCAGTGTTGGGATTACCAACACTGCACTACCATGCCCAGCTCCATAATTCTTAAATCAAAGAATTCATCAGTATTAGGCTAATATGATGCAATTCTATATCATTAAATACATCATTTATTCATTCAGCAAGTACTTACAGAGTAGCTAATATATGTCAGACATATCTACACACTTTGGGAAGCAATAAACAAATTTCATGTCCCTCCATCCTAAGTCCCTAGCACTTAATTTCAGTAGGTGTTATGGTTTGGATGTTATGCTAAGGACTCAGTCACAAGCCTATGGCACTATCAGGAAGTAATGTGACTTTCAAAGATGGGCCTAGTGGAAGAAAACCAGGGCATTGCTCTGCAAGGGGATATTGGGACCCTGGCCCAGTCCTCTCTCTCTGTCTTTGCTTCCTAGCCACCATGAGGTGAGCGACTTTACTCAACCACAGCTCCCCACAGAGATGTGCCTTGCCACGGGCCCAAAGCAACAGCATCAAGCAACCAGGGTCTGAAACTGTGACCCCCAAGTAAATCTCTCCTCTTTTAAGTTACTTAAAAGATAACACAAAGGGACAAACACTGTAGGGATGACAAGGCAGATAGTGATACAGTGCTATAGAGGAAAATAATGTAAAAGTGAAGAAGTAGTGCCAGAGAGAAAATTTTGTTTGTTAAAAGACATTTGCGGAATGTTCCTCTAAGAAAGTAGCATTTGAAGAAAGCCCTGAAGGAAATTATGAAGCAAGAGATACAAATAACTAGCCAAGTGTGGTGACTCACATCTGTAATTTCAGCTATGCAAGGGGCATAGGCTGGAGGATTGCAGTCCGAGGTGAGCCCTGGGCAAAAACTCAAGACTCTATGCAAAACAATAACTAAAAACCAAAAGGGGCTGGAGGCAGAGCTAAACTAGTAGATTGCTTGCCTAGCAAGGCCTTAAATTTAACACCAGTACCACCAAAACAACGAGAGATGCAAATAACTAGTGAATGGTCCAGGTTAAGGGAAGACAAGCACACAACTCTGAGGGTTAGGGGAGCATTTGAATTGTGCTTGTAGACCATCAAAATTGTGCTTAAGGAATATAGCCAAGGTTATGTGTACCTCACTCAAAGCATCTCCAGAAACATCTAAAATTCTTATTCTTGATCCTGGTGCTTCTCATGTTTTAATACTAAGTCTGATGTCAGTGTTTGTAGAAGGTTTCTGCAAACCTTTTATCAAGTTACACGAGAGTCATTCCATCCTAATATGGGAGGAGGGGGGATAAAGGAGAATGGTGGAGGGGGTAAATTCAAGTATGATATATTTGATAGATTGTTAAGAACTTTTGTAAATGCCAGTCCCCAACCAGCACAATAAAAAAAATTTAGAAAAAAGAATTTTCTTTTTTAACCATCAAACATTATTCAGTTCTATTAAATACCTTATATCTTCTATTGAGATGATCACATTTGTTTCTCTTTTTCTTCTGTAATACAGTAAGTTGCACTGAGACACTTTCTAAAACCGAACCCAACTAACATTCTTGAAAAAACCTCATTTGGTTATAGTCTTTTACAGTTCCTTGAGTACCTTGCTGGATCAACTTGCTAATATTTCATTTAGTATGTTTGGACTTACAGAGTGAATTGAGTCCACAGTATTTTAGGGTCTTCTTTATGCTTTAGAGAAGCATTTCACTAGGCTTCTCTTACTGTGTCTATGTAAATAATGATTTGTGTAAAAATCATTTGTCCTTAAAATTTGATAAATTTACTGAGGCTTGAAACTTTTTAAATTTTAATTTTATTTATCTATTTATTTATTTATTTTTGGTGGCACTGGGTTTTGAAATTAGGAGGCTATTATTTCTTCACCTCCTCATCAATACCTGTTCTTATTTCCTCTCTGATTATAGGTATTCTAAGTGTGTGTTAAGCAGTGTCTCATCATGGCTTTGATTTGGATTTCTTTGGTGGCTAATGTTGTTAGAGATTCTTTCATGCATATAATAATCATTTATTTACATTCTTTAGAGCAATATCTACTCAGATTATTTGGCCATTTTTAAACTGGGTCTATATTATGTCTATTTATAACTGAGTTGTAGAAGTTCTTAGTATGTTTTTGTTACAAGTCTCTCATCAGATATGGTTTATAAAATTTTTCTTGTCTTTTCACTTTGTTGGTGTGTTTTAAAACACAAAAGCTTTTAATTTTGGAGATTTCAAATTATTATTTTATTGCTTATGCTTGACAGCTTTTTAAATTTTTTATTCTACTTTATTTTTCCTAACTCAATTATTTTGGGGTTCATCTTAGTGTTCTTTAAATAATTTCATGAGTTGAAAGCTTATAACAACACAAAGATTGAAAGCACAATGATAAATATAACAAAATTTCTTCTGAATATTGCTTTGGCTACCTAACACGACTTTTGACAAATAGTAGCTTTTAATAAGTGTTGTATTTTCAGTTCTAAACAAAAGACAATTTCAACTTTTTCATTAACCTAGGAATTATTTACAGTTAAATAACATAAAGTATGTTAAAATAAAAACATGTTCCAACTTTAATTGTGGCACACACTATAATCCTGGCTCTTGAAAGGTTGATGGAGAGATTCTGCTTTCAATCCTTGACAAGAAATGATATAATTTTGACTTAGGTTATAATTATTTGATTAATAATAATAATAAACATGTTTTTAGATACTTGTCTTTTGTGGCCTGTTTACTTGTATAGCAAACAACTAGTATGACAAATGCTAGATATCAGCTTTTGTGAACAAATTTTATATATCATCCATTCTCATAGTAAGTAAAATATTTAATTTTTTAAAAAAATTTACCTCATCTAAGCAATTCACACGAACATTCTTACTGGATAATAGTGTACCAGCTTCTTGGACAGTACCTTTAAAAAAAAAAGAAAGAAAAGTAAAAGTAAGATTATCACTACAATAGAAAGAAAATCTAACATCAAGGCAATAATTTTTTTTTTTCACAGTGCTGGGGCTAGAACCCAGGGCCTTGCATGTGCAAGGCAAGCAGTCTACCTCTAAGCTACATCCCAGTCCAAGGGGATTTATCTGTAACAGTAAGACTAGTCAGGTTAGGTTGCTAAGAAATAAAGTACCAATCATATACTATTTATTTATTTCACAAAGAACTGTCTAGAGGAATAGACTAAAATAGTTCCATTTTGTTTCTACTCTCACTGACCTTCAATTATATTAAATTGGCTACATTTGGCAGAAATACAATAACCACAAAGCCTAACACTTAATACTGAAACAAATCTTAAAAGAGTATCTAGTCCAAATCACCATCTAAAGCTTAAATTCTAGTCAAGGAAATAGTTGGAATTCAAAATGCAGTCAGTATTTGTATAATTTGTCAGCACTTGGTGTTTGAATTGATGGCATATTTATAATTCAATCCGTGGCTTGGAAACGCTTCAGTGAAACATGTCCATAAAGTCTGGCAACTATATAAAAGTGCTCCATGGTCAGTATCCACACAACACACTGAAAGTGATCAAATTTAAACTTGAAGGTCAGTCCTCTGTAAATGTGGGAATGAGCTGTACTTGGGCCACAGATATCAGGCTTTTCCAGTCTTCTGTGGGGCATATGGCACAGGCAAGTGGTTGCAAGGCAGAACATTGCTGCCCTCATCATCAATCCAAGGCAGGCGCATATTCTGCCAAATAATGTGTGGTTTGACTGGGAAGAGAACAAAGAAATTGAATGTTGCTCTCTGGGACAAAGGATGAGATAAGACTCTCCTCTAAAAGAAGGTAAGAGAACAGGGGCATTTTCCCAACCTGGTTATTTCTTCTCTTTAACAATTATGGTTGCGAATGTGCTGGATTCTGTTAGTCATTCAGAGTAAAAGATGGAATGTAGGAAGAAGACCAATAGGCTTGTTCCTGAACAATCTGCTGTTTAGACAAGTCACCTGAGTGCTTCTCACCCCAAATCGGAGAGACAGAAACGTCTCTTGGAGATACAGAGACACAGCTCTGCTGGGTAAATGTCAAGAGAATGACCTACACATCCCTGATATATGACAGCTGCTACTTTTGCAAGTAGTGCATTTTTTCAGACCCCGAACTCCATGGAAAGGCAGTTGCTGAAACTTTTTGAGTGTGTAAGCACATTCGTCATTAAACCTTATCCCTACCTGAGGCTTTTCAGCAGAGACTTTCTCAAACAGCTTTAGAGAAGAATTAAACAGAACAAAACCTCCATGCCCCATTGAGGAAGATGCCTCGGTGGAATCACATTCTCCACTGAGAACCAGCTGAGGTTATTTTCTTTCTGGCCAAGAGGTATTTATGCAGTAAAGAGAGAATACCATAGGGATTGTAAACATGTCAAAGCCTGCTACATGTTATGAGAGGATAGGGATTACAATCATAAACATGTGGATCTCATTAGAGTACAGGCTACTAATTCTATAAAATGTTTGCCCAGTGGCCAGCAATCTAAATTAATCTGTCCTGTCGGGGAACAATTTAAAAAGAAAAGATGAGGCATGCTGTAATGCTGGAGAAACCCAAGAAAACTGCTGTCTCCTACTAAACTCTTATATGTTTGACACCAGATGTTTAGAGGGTTTTCCCCACACACCAAGCAGTTCTACAGCAGACACTAATGGGGTGTCCTCCTTGGGTGGAACACTTTACTCACATTTACATATTAATTATAAAGGATATAGATGAATGGGCCAATGGAAGAGACACATAGGAAAGGATTAAAGGATGAGGCACAAAGGCCTCTTTGCACGTTGCATCCTCCAGCAATGTGGAAACTCACGGAACCTAGTAGTCAAGGGGTACTTATCATGGAGACTTAAACTCACAGGCATCATGGATTATTAACTCGATATCCAGCTCCTCTCCTCTTTGTGGAGGATGGGAGGGGGGCTAAGTTGAAAGTTACAAGTCTCTAATCATGGCTCTGTCTTTCTAATGACCAGCAATGAAGAGGTCCAGAAGTCCATCAAGAGTCCACAAGTTAGAAGAAAAGACATTCTGTTGCTCTGAAACTCTGTTGCTACGACCCAGGCCAAGGACCAAACATTAGAACCAAAGATGCACCCAGCACCCCTACTGATTAGGAGATTATAAGGGTTTTAGGAGCACTGCATCAGGAACTGGGACAGAGAGTAAATACACATATCTCACACATGCACACGCACACACATGCACACATACCACTTAACAGGTTCAGGTTAGCCTTTTGAAATGCTGGGACCTGGATAAGAAAAACAGTAGAAACAGTTTCGCCTGCTATTGAATAAAACAGATTTTGGAAAATAGATGAACAAAATATTCAGAGAAAAAATTTGTGGTGGTCTTTAATTTAGTGTTCCTAATTTAATGACATTAGGAGGAAAGTATGGAAGGACCAGATAGCATAGAAATGTGAAACATATGGCTCGTGTAGGATTTTTACTTCTTTTCATTCCTTGCTGCCCATAATACACTCTCAAGCAATATTTTGCAACTAAGTTTAAAGGATAAATTGCTTCACTTTGGGAAAGAAATGTATTAGATCTAATTTAACAAACTCTTAAGGTGGTGGGGGCGGGGATCCAACACTCTAAGAAGGGATGTGAAATAAGCCAACATTTACCCTCACTGGAGACAAAAATTAACAGAATTAAACTAATGAAAGTAATATTAATGTTTTGTTTCCCTTCTGAGAATTTTTCCAAGTTGCTCAAACTAAAGAAGAAAATATAGCACAACCTGTCTCCTTAGGATGGGATTGATCAATTTATCTGAATAAACCAGTATTTTGGCAGAAAAGAGGAGATGTAAAGAGTGAAATCTTACTGTTTTCCTCTCTCTTCTACCACACTACAGCCCTTTAAGGATTACTATGAAATTCAGCCAGACCTACAAAACACTCAGCTTCCTCATCTGTGAAACTAAGATGGTAGTATTCATCCCATGGGGCTCTGAGGAGGACAGAGGGCTTGCCCTAATGTGGCCACATTGTAAGCCTTAGGGTACGTCAGAAGCCCCTCTTATTTTCATTCAGAGCAGCACAATATAATTCATGGCTACATGACTAATATCTAGAGTAAGACCATAGGTCACTACAGAAGATAGCAGATGTTGCAAAAACAAACAAAATGAGAGAAACAAACTTTTGACATTCTGTTTCCAACAATCCATTTAAAAACCAAGAGATTCAGACATGTGTGGATTTGGCTTGGTTTTGCTGTTTGGGTTTTGTTTTGTTTTGTGTTTGTTGTAGTACTGGGGATTGAATTCAAGGGCCTTGTGTTTAACAAGCACCCTACCACTTGAGCCATGCCATCATCCCTTTTGCTTTTGCTTTTGTTTTTCCAGTAGGGTCACCAGTTAACTTTGCCTGGGCTGGCTTGAAACAGAGTTACCTTCACCTTCTGAGTAGCTAGCTGGGACCACAGGATTGGATCACCATAGCCAGTTTGTTTTGGAGATAGTGTCTCAGTAACTTTTGCCCAGGCTGACCTGACCAGTGATCCTCCTGTCATTACCTTGGGAATAGCTGGGATTACAGGTATATGCCACCACTCCCTGCTTATTTTGTTTTGTGCAGTGTGGGAACTGTACCCTGGGCCTACCACGTTAAGCAAGTGCTGTACCACACTGAGCTAAGTCCCAGCCCTTAAGGCATATATGGATTTGAATAAGTATCTAATAAAACCCCCCAAAATGGATGTTTTAAGGAATATATATCCAAATTAAAGATTTAAAAAATCATTTGACTTGTTTGCAATACTGTTTATATAGAAATAAAATCATACAAAAATATTTAAAGTGCTTTAATTTTAAAAGAACAAAATATATAAATTCCATTTATTCATAAGTAGAAAACTATAAATATATCTTAAAACTAGAGACTTCTAGTTATAACATGCATTTCAAAATAGTAGATTTGGGTGAGGTTTCAAAAGTCCTCCCACTTCATTTTCTTTGTCTATAAATGAGAGATTATCATAATTATCATAGCTACCAACTGCATCCAGGGCCTCCCTGGCTAATTTCCAGAACCCCCAGCAGGAACCTGAAGAGAAACTAGGAAATTGGTGAGATGTCCACATCCATTCTCCAGCCCATTGTACACTGCTGCAATCTTGTAATGGAGTTCTGTCGTGCTTTTTCTTCTGCTCTGCTAACATGTGTTCCACTTCACCAGCACTGGGTTGTAAGAAGGGAGCCATCCCATAACACAAACAGCGCTTAAATGTTTTACTTATACTAACTCATTTCATCTGCACACAAAGTTGTGAGGTAGGGACCTCATGGTTAACCACCCTCCCATACTGTCTCTCATAATACTATAGCTTAAAAATAATTTATAGCTCATCAAGATTTAATGTAGAAATACAAAGTGCTTAGAATTACATCTGGCTCATAAAAACATTCAGTCAATGCTAGCTAGTTATCTTCTTATAGCTTCTGTTCCTTTTCTTGACAGAGCAATGATGACCCACAGACCTTTAGTTGAGGGATCATAAACTGATCCACCTCAGTCCTTTTCTCATTGACCTGGGCACAGCATCTATGCACTTGCACAACCTGATTCATGACATGGGCTCAGAAATATCACAGAGCTAACGAGAGTAAAATGCACATTCTGTTTTATATAAGCAGAGCAAAAACTGGTGGACATTCAGAACATACTCAAGAACTTCCATCTCCCTTTTCAGAGACCTATTTTATAGTACTCACTGAAGACATGTGACAGCTCCAGCCTGCTTAAAATCAGAATTCTCATCCCTGGAGAATATGAGTTGATTTCTTCTCTCTTTGCCCAGCACCGTACCTGGCACAAAGCAGGGACTTGTATGTTCTCTAAATTGAATCCCAGAGTCACCAAATGCCACATAGGTCATTGAGAACTGTACAGCAGAAATAATAAAAACCCAACCCAAAGCTTTAGATTTATCTTCATAAATCTAGCTGAAATTGACTTATTACTGAAATCAGATGGAATGGGTTCAGTTCATTACCACCTGTTGATTTCAACCCTGAACTGTTTTCTCCTTTTACATTTCGATTTTCCTTGTTATTAAGAATAAATTTGCCTTGGTCGCTGGGGTTGTAGATTTGAACTTGGCTTCTTACATATAAAGAAGACTGGACAACGGGGGAACCTTATGCTTCGAATGTCTGCCACTCGAAGGCGGACGTAACACTTATTTTGAATTTAAAACAAACTCATAATCATGCCCGCAAGCCCACGCATCCTCATCCCCGCACAGTGAGTGCAGGAGAAGCATGAGGTCACGCTTATGTTACCTACCAGGTAACGGGATTAGGCAGGGAACTCCTTTGGGACGTCCACTCTGGGACTGAGAGGTAAACATGGCTTCTGGCTCGCGGGTCTGGGTGACTCCCTTCCTACAATCCCGCGTGGCGGAAGTGGGACATGCTTTGGCAGAGGGGTAGGGAAAGCACGAAGGAGCAGCATGGACCAAGGGGTGATTGTGGATGTCTGGCCAATTTCCTCGCCTGTGTGCAGGTTGCTTCCCTGGCCAGGGCTACTGGAAGCAAGCCAGGGAGGACCTGTTTGCGAAACCCCAACGCGGCAAATTGCAGACCTAGTTCTGGCCCTTATAAAGAACCCCTCTCCCTAAGAGCTTCCTCCACCCCAAGCAGGGGCGGGACCCGCTAGGCATCCTGATCTAGCGGCCTCCGGAAGTCGAAAGGGCCTTTTGGACACCCGCCTAAGAACCTGAAACAACCAGGCCACTGTACCTAAAACTGACTGTGGTCAAGTCACCTGAGTTTTGAAGAACCCACACGCCGGGCACACGCCCCTTGGACGTTCATTTTAATCCGAAATCCGTACATTTCCGAAAAGCTGATTTAAATGACAAGCTTCAGTAAACCTCCGCTCTGGTTCCAGCATTGCTTCTCCCTCCGATCTCTCCGCCCCCGCAACCGGTCCCACACCAAAGGAAAACGCCTATTCCTGGTCCGAGGCTGCCAATCTTGCAGGACAGCAGCCAAAGGTCACCAGGGCCAGGGGCTCTCCACCAGGCTCCGTCACGCCCCCGGGCCAGGTTGGCAGCGCCCGGATCGCAGCCCAACACCCATACCTTTCCCGATAACTTCCAGCAGCTCCTTTTCCTCCTGGGTCAGCTCGCCTTTCTTTATGTGAACCATTCCTCCCGCCAGCTTGAAGGTTATTCTTTTTTTGGAAGTGTTAAAAAAAGAGAGAGAGAAAAGATGTGTCTGTGTTTTAAAAGCCAGCTACAATGTAGCAATTTGAGTCCAGGATATAGTGTAGCAAACCACGGAAGCGCTCCACTTCTCTGCTAGCTCCGGCGGGCTGGCGGGCTGGGGGCGAGCTCCGGCGAGCCGGGCGGGCGGTCTCTGCCGGCCCAGCTGTAGACTCCGCCCCCCGCACGTCATTGGTCGGGCCGGGAGGAGGAGCTGCAAAAGGCGGCAGCATGAGACTACAATTGGAGCAGCCTAGAACGGAAAAACCAAATGGAGAAAAGTGGAGGGGAGAATTAAATTCCTCTTACATGTTTCCGATTCCACCCCATCCTATCCGATTCAGATATTTTGGGACACATAATAGTCACAACTATTAGCATGTACTTCACTGTCCGACAATTGCTTCCTTGGGACGTGCAGAGGTCTCCGGCTCGCGATATACGTTCCCTATAACCCTGGGAATGGCGCAGTCCGGAAGGGAGGCGGGGTGGGAGGAGGGGGCGGAGCAGAAGGCGGAGCTACGCCGGGCTCCGTGTGTCTATGTCAATGTGTCTGTCCTTCACTCCTCCATTGTCTGCCGCCGCCACTGCCGCCGCTGCCACTGCCGCTGCAGGAACCGCCGCAGCCTCCAGCCTCGCGCGTCGTCGCTACCTCCTCGGACAGGTAAGAAGCAACCCAGATAGGGCAGGGGGAGTCCGGGTGTTGGGTTAGCCGTGACCGTCGCCCCGCCGGGGGCTTCTACCCCGGCCAGAGCTGGCGGGGAGGAAGCATGTGCCTCCTGGGGCGGCTGCCTGCCTCTCGGTGGAGAAGCCCCGCTGCACACCCATCACCCCCATATATTCCATCTATCAGTGCCCCACAGTGAAGACCCCCGCCTCGCCACGTTTAGCCACCCCGGGAGACCCTAGGACCGAGAGCGGGCGGGGGCTGGCCACGCGGTGGGAAGTGGCGGGTGCACATGGTCGGGTGCGTGGCACCGCCAGATGCGGGCCCCGGGAGGCCCGCGGTGAGGCTTTGAGTGAAGGTGAGCAGGAGAGCACCCCATCGCCAGCGAGGTGAACGCGTGATGAACCGAGACTCGGAGAAGGTACTTTTTCTTTTGGCAAGCCTCATCCTCCCCACTACTTGTCATCTCCTCTGCAAGCCGTAGATGAGAACCGGACCTGATCGCCCTGTGGTGCCTGTTAAGGATGTTTGGAAGCAATTTACACTTGAACTAATACTTCGTTTATGGAAGACAGCCTGGGGGAGAGGGGAAGGAAGGGCCTCTTCGCTTTCCTAGAGTTCCCAGTCTCTTTGTAACTCAGATCTTGAGGGATTTATGGAAATCGGGAGGGGAAGGTGGAAAGGATGGAGATTAAATTGCGTTGCTGTCTCTATATATAGCCTTAGATTACCCTCTTAATCCAGTCTTCATTCAACTGTGATTCGTAATCTCGAGCTTCGGCCATAGGTAGATAGGGGGTAAAATAGAAGTGTGTACCCTCCTGTAGCTCAGATACTAGACCTGCTTGCCAAAACATGTAGTCAGTCATTCCTCCAAGGTGCATATCCATAGCGTATTTACAGCATCAGTGAAAGCGTCTTCAGAAATTATTGTTTATAGTTTTACTGTCATTTCTCTGCAGACTAATGTCTGTACATTTCTCTACAGACTAATGTTTCTCTCAAGACCCATCTGTGTCAAACAGATCTGAATAATTGTGTAGCTGGTTTTTGTTAAACATCCGCAGAACCACTCTTTCTTCACCACAGTGCCATATACAAAGTGAAATGCATTTTCCTCCAGCCCTCCACCTTCATTTTGCACAAAACATTTACTAACACTTCTGAAATTCAGGGAGTGTGTTCATTGTTATTTTTTTGCCTTGAACAAAAATCTCTCCTAAATTCCAGCTCCCCATCCCCCACCCCAGCTTCAGCTTTGGAAGGGGGGTTGCAGTTCTGAGCCAGAACATCTCACATGAAAATGGTTTGAAATTATTCATCTCAGTGTATAACAAAGAAACTTTTGTTTGGCGATGCCTTAATAATGATGAGGCTGTTCAAACAAGTAGTAGGGCTTTTGAGAGTGACCAGTATTTTGTAACACTTAGAATGCTGTTACTGCCACAGTTAACAATTGATTTATAACACCTCATCCAAAAGGAACCCACAAATTTAAGAAAGGGCTTGCAAAGTAACCTCGACATCAAGTTCACCCGCAAGAGAATTTAACATCTCACCAGCAGATGCATAGGCAGAATTGGGTACTTCACTGCCATTATTTCCATCTCTCATGCTAAATCTGGGCCATGGTTACTTGAAGGTCACACCTGTTTGTCTCACTGTTGTTGTCAGTTCCTCAAGAATAGCAGCTTATTATTTATTTTCTTGGTGGTTTATTGACACCTGGTTGGTATTTAGTTCTTTGTGAATGCATGACTTCCATCGATTTAGAGTCAGTGACTCTTAAGGACGAAGACAAACTAACATCCACCTAGAAATGCAGGCAAACCATATGTTCAGTTTAAATTTCTAGAAAAAATTCCTACTAGTGTTCTTCACAGGGGTTACATTAATAGTTCTGTGCAATGTAAACATTTAGTGTGGGAATAAGATTAACTATTAAGCTTATTAAAATGTATTCACATCAAAGAAGTCTATTGATAACAAAACAGCTCATCATATTGAGTATTTAGTCTATTCCAGATTTTCTACCAGATGCTTTGCACAGGATTATTTTAATCATTGTTATAATAACCCAGGAATTAGCCAATATTATCCTCATTCGTTAAAATAAGAAAACAAAAAGCAAGGGAAGTTAATTTGTGCACAGTCACATAGTTAGGAGGTGTCAAAGCTGGAGTTACAAAATAGATTTTTTTAATCTGTCTCTAAAACCTTTTCACTATTCTCCCTGTGCCTGGCAATAAGGGAGAAATTATACATTCATTTGACTACCTAATATATAATACAGCCCTGTGCCTCAGCATGCCAAAAGCACAAAAGTCTCCCTTTTTCCCCAGTCTCTTCTCTATTATCCACTGCCAATGGGATCTTTATATATTTGCAGCATATGTGTATTATTTCTATTTTTTTACAGAAATGGGAACATACTAATACACTGTTGTATAATAGAATTTGTACCATGCATTCTTCTATCTCTTTCTTCACCTTTTAAAAAGTAATCGTTTCTGGAAGGTGTAACTCAAGTGCTACTTTGCAAGCATGAAGCCCTGAGTTCAAACCCCAGTCCCACCAAAAAAAAAAAAAAAAAATCATTTCTGGGATGTCTGAAATATTCTTGTATGTGTCCTGTCACTTTTTTCTACTCCTACTTCTTTAGATCTCTCCTGGCCTATTGCCAAGGATTCCTAAGTAGCTCACTATCCCTATCAGCCTATTTCAAGGAACTCTAAAAACTAAGCATCCCAGTGTTAAGTCTCCCCTGGCCACAGAATAAGACTCCAACTTGTGGTCCCAGCAGGCATTTCCAGTCAGCCGTCCCCTCCCACACATTGTGCCCTAAGGTCACCACACTCCTGGTTCCCTAACCTGCCAGTAATTTCCACCCCTTTGTTCCTGATTTCTCTTCCTGGAATGACCTTCCTTTCCTTTTCACCCAGTCTCTCCTTCCCAGCTCTGATGAATGTACTCATCTTTCAACATTCTACTTAACTAGAATGTTTTCCTTCAGCTTTCATGCTCACTTCTCCCACCCTGTTCAGTGAGAGGAGTACAGACACTAGTAAACATATTCATTCATGTGTCTCCGCAAGGTAAGCAAAATGTTTGCACAGGGTGATACTGGCATGAAGCATAGTTGTTGGCACCCTCAAATTCATTCCTTCCTTATGGACCCCAGCCACCTGTTGCACCCTCCACTTAGTTATCATCATTACTTCAGGATCTGGATCCCGTGAAAATACATAAAACAAGGACCTTCCTCATCACATTTGATTATGGTGTGCTTTTAATTTTGCTTTTTTCCATTTGAGTCTTTTCTCATTTGAGACTATAAATTAACTAGGCTTAATTTATTTCTGTTGCTCAAGGTATAACCCAGTATCTTGCACCTAGTGTTTGTTCAGTACATGCTGAGTTGAATTCATTTGATCTCTAAGTTATTTTAGGTGGATTTGTTTCCCAAGTTGACTAATCCTTTCTGGCAATGTGAGGTGATGTGGCAGAGGCAAGCCTAACCACATCCAGGGGCAGAAGGTCTTTAAATGTTTTGAGTTTCAAGTTTCTTGACATTCTAATGAGTGCTATCAACAAAGAACAAAAATGTTCATATGCCACATGTTAGAAATTAGGCATGCTATTCCTGGATTTCTGTATCTATCTACTTCAGGAGAGCACTGTCTACTTTTTTATTGCAGGGTTTTAAAGTTCATTTTTTGAGTTTTGAGTATTATATATTTCAGAGAACTGTGTTCCTTGACATTTGACTTTGACTTATACTAGATATATTCCTTGACTGACAGGATGCTTGATGATATTAAGGAATCTTATTTTCTTTGATGTTTGAAGATGGTTATAGTTTCAAAATATCCCTGATCCTTCAGAGATATAGTTTCAAACTGAAGTAGTTCTGAACTACTTAAGAATGATATGACATCTGAGATTTGCTGTAATATAATTCTGTGACATTAGGGGTGGGACTGAGTGAGAATATAAAACAGACAAAATTGTGTTATTTATTAGTGACTAAAACTGAATGGTAGCTTCATTTTACTGTTCTGTCTACTTTTGGATATGTTTGAAATTTTCCATATATTTGGAATTTCACATAATGAAGGGTTTTGTTGTTTGTTTTTTGTTGTTTGTTTGGTGATGCTGGGAATCAAACCCAGGCAGTGCACATGCTAGGCAGATGCTTTACCACTGAGCTACATTTCCAGCCCTATAAAATCAAAATTAGGAAGCATTACAGCCCCTACAAGTTATTTTTTTTTCCTGTTTTATACAACGTAAGAAAAATATGCATACAAATGTTCTTTCTTTGTACTTGGAGGTTAGCTTATGCAATTATTCATTTAAACTGTAAAACAGTTTCAACCAAAGTTTGAGAAGTACCATCTTGTGAACAGTGCATTTTCATAAACACATCACATC